GCACGGTCATAACCTGGAAGCTGGAGGTCGGTTGGGCGAGGTGGATCGATCGGTGGAACAAGAATGCTGGAGATGAGAGGGTGGAAGTCGATAGCTGGTGATGGTCGCTCACGGTCATAACCTGGAAGCTGGAGGTCGTCGATAGGTGGAGGACCAAAGCTGGAGGTGGAAGGGCGGGAGTCGATAGATGGCAATGGCTCACGGTCAGGACCTGGAAACGGTCGAACCTGGGAGCTGGGACGGGTCGGCTGGGCGAGGTGCTGGAGTCAAGGTGGAAGAAGAATGCTGGAGGTGGAGGGTGGAAGTCGATAGCTGGGATGGCCGCTCAGGTCATAACCTGGAAGCTGGAGGTCGGTCGGGCAAGGTGGAGGGTCGATAGGTGGAGGACCAAGGCTGGAGGTGGAAGGGCGGGAGTCGATAGCTGGCAGTGGACGCTCACGGTCAGGACCTGGAAGCTGGAGTCGGTTGGGTGAGGTGGAAGGTCAATGGGTACAGAAAGAATGCTTGAGGTGGGATGGTGGAACTAGATGGCTGGTAATGGACGCTCACGGTCAGACTCTGGAAGCTGGAGGTCGGTTGAGTCAGGTGGAGAGTCGATAGGTGGAGGTCGAACGCTGGAAGTGGAGGGTTGGAGGTCGATACCTGGTGGTGGACGCCTGTAGCTATAATCAAAACCTTGGCGTGCAAGTTGCCGTGCATATTCCGTAGACGCGCAGACGTCGGTATCTTTGCCCGTGCTGTCCACGCCCCACGTGGCCGTCGTCGTACCCTCTGCGCCGGAATCATATGGAGGACGAGAAATTGAAGGCACATGCTGTGCAAATGCCGTGGGTGACGGTGCAGTCCCAGCTCCAATAAGGCAAGGTGGTGATAGCCGGACCAGTTGGTGTACAAGGGTATATTTGCCCAAACTCGTACTGCCACCAATCAGGTTATCGGCGTTTTTGTCCGTAGCGTGGCCGCTGTCGGTATTCAAATAGTGAGCGCGTGCACGTAAACAGTGGAAGTTTCTAGTAACCCCATTCCAGGCACCCGTATATCCCAATTCTGTTTGTAGCTGTTCAGCTCGGGCACTGGCTGTCGCTGTATTTGCGCCAAATATTGTATCCAGTGCCCGCCGTATGTCCTACTTGTCATTTCCCTTGGATGCACCTTTTGGCGTGCCCTTCATCCCGAGGCGCGACCGGTGGATGATAGCGTCGCACTTCTCGGTCAAAGCGATCAGCTTCTCATGCTTTTGTAATTCTTCCCAGTTCTGCCAGGTTTCCTCCCACTCGCGGTGTAGAGCGCCATCGCGTATATGAACGGTAAGTGCCAATTGGCCGCCTACGTGGACCTGATACGGAGCACAGTCGTCAACTTTGATGGTGCATTCGTTGCCCATGTCGTTTTTTCAACAAATACTTGACACCAAAAGCAAAGTTCCGAGCTGCTCGTTCGGCCGGTTCTTTATCCGGAGATGCCCAAACTGTGTTGATACCTCGTTGTATGCGTTTGCTTCGGAGTAGTGTTACGGCGGTGTCTCGCTCCAGTATGTCGCCAAACTCCACAAATAGAATACTGCGGAAATCTCCTTTGGCGTAGATGTTCTTAGGAACGGGGCCATTCACATCGGCGAGCTGCTCCCTGATGAACTCATTCGCGGCTTTCTCGGACTCGAAATCCTCCAGGTTGCCGATGACCGCTGTGACAGAACGCTTGCCTTTGTAGTGGTACTCGTCCGCTGTCTTCTGAGAGTAGCCTGACCGTGGTGTATGGTTCCCGATGTTATGGAAGTCTTGCTTGATATTGTCGATGTGTTTTTGCATATGATTTTCCATGTTTGTCATTCTGATCTGCATGTCTTCAATGTCATTGGCTACCGCAGTTGCGAAAGTGTCGAATTTGCCCTTCATATCATCAAGTTGTGTCTTCAACGGTCGCGTGGCCTCCTCAAGATCTTTGTGTGAAACGCCGTGCTTCTTAATAGCCGCGATGTCGTGTTGGATTGGGCGTAGCTGGCGTGCAATCAGGGCTCCAATCGCATCCAACGTAAGCGGTTCTCCCCCTGATCCAGATGAGCCACTCCCCAAGAAAGGGTTTGGCGGGGGTTGTTGAAATTGGCCCGGGGCTGCTGGTTCGGTACTCGAGGAATCTTCTCGAAGAGCTCCTGCAGCAAGTCCGGCTGCGTCGTCCAGGCCGTCCATCTCGTGTAGCGGGCTTCGAATCCTCTGTGATTTGGCCCCTGGCCGCTTTGGAGTGCTGAGCTGATGACGTTCCGGCATCCCCGCCTTGAATGGTGGTACAAGAAAGTGGGACATTGTGTAGCAGAAAGTACTTGTAGCAGGACCTTGCTTGAGCCAGCCCTTGAGCCGGGCTGGGAGCAGAAAAAAAATGGCAGAACCAAACGGGCAGATCGGGCGGGTAGGCCCTGACAGGCGGGTCGGGAAGGCAGGCCCAGGCGGACAGGTCGAGCAGGCGGGTTGCTGAAGCGTGCGTCATGCATGGATCGCGAAGACGTCTCGAGCGATAGCGCGATTCCCAAATGAATGGTGAGGAAATCCACAGCAAGAGCGTGATTCCTGAGTGTCGAAGGCGCGGCGTCAGAATGAATTGTGAGGAAATCCCTAGCCAAAGCGCGATTCCGGTACAAATTGCGGGATTTTCAAATTGTGAGGAAGTCCCGCGCGAGAGCGCGATTTTCAAATAATGTGTGCGCAAGTATCAACGGGGGGGGGCCGTTGTTGTTGTTGTCAATCAGGGGCAAAGGGGTCCAGTTTGGTGACACCTCACTTCGCATTTTAGAGAACAGGGTGCGAGCCCCGAAAAATGCACTGGTTACCGCGCAGATGGATCAACAACTGTTGTTCCTTTAGAAACAACGGCAACAACAACAACAACAGCAACAACAACAACACTAACAACCAACAACCAACAACCAACAACCAACAACCGACAACAAACAACAAACAACAACCACCACCAACAACAACAACGAAAACGACAACGACAACGACGACGACAACGACGACGACGACAACGACGACGACGACAATAACGAACAACAACAACAACCACGACAACAACAACGTGAACAGCAGCAACAGCAACAAAAACAACGGCAACAACAGCAACAAAAATCAGTATCCGTATCATAATCACAATCATCATCAGCAGCAGCATCATCATCACCACCACCATCATTATCATCATCGTTTTGAGAATGTTCGCTCTGATATGAAGGCGTGCCACTCAACATGTCTGTCCCGATCCCTCGGTACCCGCCGTCTTCGACTTCGGTCGTACCCCCCTTGGGGGTATATCTTCCCTACCTGCCGCGTGTAGTTGGCGCAGCCCCTAAAGCGGGGGAAGAAAGGGAGGAGAGAAGAGACAAGGGGAGGGAAAAGGATGGAGCACGGGAGAGATTCACAGGAGGAGGGTTAGGAGCAGGAGCACAAGCGGCAGAACCAGAGCTCGCGTACGTGCGTGAGTGAATTCGGGTTTGTGACGCCCTTATCACGATGAGTCTTGGAGATAGGAGTGTAGAATGACGGTGATGATGATGATGGTGGTGATGACGGCGATAGATGACGATGATGATGATGATGATGATAATGATGATCATGATGATCATAGTGATGATGATGATGATGATGATGATGATGAAGATGGTGATGATGATGATGGTGATGATGATGATTATGATTATGATGATTATGATGGTGATGGTGATAATGATGATGGTGATGGTGATGGTGATGATCATCATCATCATCATCATCATCATCATCATCATCATCATCATCATCATGGTGATGACGATGATGGTGATGACGAAGACGATGACGATGACGATGGGTATGGTGATGGTGATGATGATGTTGATGCTGATGCTGATGCTGATGCTGATGCTGATGCTGATGCTGATGCTGATGCTGATGCTGCTGATGCTGCTGATGCTGCTGATGCTGATGCTGCTGATGATGACTATGATGCTGATCGTGACGATGATGGTGGAGATGGTGACGGTGACGACGACGACGATGACGATCACGATGACGATGATGATGATGATGACGACAACGACGACGAAGATGACGACGACGACGACGATGATGATGATGGTGATGATGATGCTGATGATGACGGTGATGATGATGGCAGTGATGATGCTGCTGCTGATGATGATGATGGTGGTGATGGCGATTCCTGCACGGGGTGTCCAGAGAAACCAAAGAACCCGCTCTGGACGTGGGGAGAAAGGCTTGGCAGGACGAGGAGGAAAAAGAGAAACAGGAAGATTGGCAGGCGGACCACCGGACGAGCCGCGCGAGAGCGGACCCTGATGAGCGGGTCGGGCGGGCGGGACACCGAGGCGAGCGCGCGGGCCTCCTCGCAAACGAAGAGGCGGACCCTAACGGGCGGGGCGGGCGGGCGGGCCCCAACAGGAGGTCGGGCGGCTGGACCCCAGCGGGCGGATCGGGCGGGCGGGCCCTGCTAGGCGGGCGGAGCATTGAAGCGAACTCCGTAAGATGCAAAGAAGCCCCATGCGAGAGCACGACTCCTGAGTAAACTGTGCAGAAGTCTCGTGCGAGGGCACGATGCCTGGACGTCGACAGCGAAGCGCCCGGGTAAACTGCTGGGAAGTCCCAAACGAGAGTGCGATTCTTGGGTAAATTGCTTTGGATCTCGACCCCGTCGTCGGATGGCTCCGGGCCTTGATGCGGCCCTCCAGGTGCCGAAAGCGGCGACTCACCTCCAGAGCGTGGTGTTCTCGAGTCCTCGCCCAGACCGAAAGGAGGCCGTTCACGGCGACAGCATAGCCGAAATGAGACCGAGCTGGCAGCGAATATAAAACCAAACAGAACCGACAGACCGCAAGCAGGCTAAGGGGAACGCAGCGACGCGGCAACGGCAGAGCTACCGACCAAAGCGACCCAACCGAACACAAGAGACTGCGACGCAGCCGAGCCGACCGAACCGCGACACCCTCGCTGAACCCTAGCGCGCACCGCCAGCTCCTGCTCCATCCAGTCCATGGTGGCCTCACCCTCGTGGACCTCGCCGATCGACGTCTCGCGACCGGTGTAATACAGAATGCGCTCTGTGGTAGTGGTCTTGCCCGCGTCGATGTGGGCCATGATCCCGATGTTCCGGTACTTGTCGAGGCCGATGCCTGCCTTTCCAGACACCTGACGGCAGGATCAGTCAGCATCGACTTGGCAAATCGGATCGAATCGAAATGTGCTTCGGACTGGGCTGCATCAGCGCGGCATCCAAGTCGAATCCAATCGGCCGCGCCAGGGTGCACAACAACGCTGTGCAGGCATCGGGCCGCATCGGATCGCTGGAGCATCGGGATCGAATCGGACGGGCCGGCCGAAGAAGATATCGAATCGGACTGATGAGATCGAAGTGGACACTGAGACGCGGAAGGGGGGGGCGGTCCGACGACCCGGCGCGGTGGCTCTCGCCGGGACGTCGGCGCGAGCTCTCCGCGCGGGGAGGAGGGAGCTATCGCGGGCCTCGCGTGGATGTCCGCGCAGGAGGAGGAGTAGGAGGAGAGAGAAGAGAATGAGGAGGAGAAGGAGGAAGGAGGAGGAGGAAAGAGGGATGGAGGCAAAGGAGGAGGAGGAGGGGGAGAAAAAGAGAGAGAGAGAGAGAGGAAGCGGAAAAAGAGGAGGAGGAAGAGGAGGAGGAGGAGGAGGAGGAGGAGAGAGAGGAGAGAAGGAGGAGAAGGAGGGAGAAGGAGGGAGAAGGAGGGAGAAGGAGGGAGAAGGAGGGAGGGAGGAGGAGGAGGAGGAGGAGGAGGAGGAGGAGGAGGAGGGAGGAGGGAGGAGAAACGAGGAGGAGGAGGAGGAGGAGGGAGGAGGGGGGAGAGGGAGGAGGAGGGCGTGTCGACAGACTGGGGCTGCGCCTCGAGGGGCCACCTGCCGGACGCCCCCCCCGCCTGCGGTGCCCGCGCCGGGCGTCGCTGTGGCTTCGGGAGGAGGAAGGCGCGGGTACGGGGAGGAACGACAAGGTGGGTCGTCGTCGTCGTCGCCGTCGTCGTCGTCGTCGTCGTCGTCGCAAGGGTCGTCGCAGGGGTCGTCGTCGCAGGGGTCGTCGTAGGGGTCGTCGTGGTCGTCGCCGACCCCGGGCCGCCCGGCGCGGCGGGCGGGGCGGAGGGGCAACGATCGGGGGGGACGGCAGAGGGGAGGACACATCGATCGGCGACAGGTCCCCCATCGTGGATCCGAACGTTCCTGGGCAGGTATCGGGCTCTCGGGCCACTGTCGGCGACCAATGGGCGATCGCGGGTCGATGCATACCCCATTTGCAGATCCCGCCCTGTTGTTGCCACTGAGGAGGCTGGAGCAGGAGTCCGCTGCCGCTTAAGAGGGCCATCCCGATCACGCACACCACGAACAAGCGTTCAAGAGAGAGGGAGAGAGAGACAACACACGAAGCCAACTCAACAGGCTGTCCTGCGAGCGCGGTAGGCGATATGGGAGAGGATGCTTCGATTTTGATAGCAAAAGGAGGGTTCACAAACCTCCTAGACGAGCCATGGTCCGATAGCTTGGCAGAACTCTTGCCACAACGCTCGGCCACACGGGCGATTCCAACAGGCACGGGGCGGCAGTGATTCGCCGTAGGCGTCTTCGATACCGAGGAGTCCGAGGTGCAACAGAGAAGCAGGAGTCCAGGGGGGCGACGCTCAGGCCTGGACATCTCGCCTGAACCCTTCCTGCCGTGCTCGGAGAGGCGCCCTGACAAGAAACGAATTCCACATACGTCGCTCAATTGGGGTCGGCGGCAGAGGCAGCAGCCCGTAGATCCAGCCGCTCCCGCCCGGCGGGTTGGGCCGTGCGAGACCTCTCTGACACAGTGTCTGGCACAGTCTTTGGCCCCCTTCTCCAGTGCCTGGTCAAAAACCTCCTGAAAGTCCCTCCGAGGGGGCCCCACTCTGCCGCCGGCCCCACTCTGCCGCCGGCCCCCTTCAAGGTCTCAAACAGCCCGGGGACGACCCAAGGGCGCCCCAAGCCGGTCCAAGAGAGTCCCGAGCAGTCCAAGAGAGCCAGATCGCTCCAAGACGCCTAAGATGGCCTCCAGACGGCCCAAGACGCCTCCAAGACGGCCCAAGAGGGCTCCAAGAGCACCCCCAAGACAGCCCCGAGAAGCAAAAATCATTGATTTTTCAATGGTTTTTGAAGGATTTTCACGTTCACGACATTTCGGCTTACCCACGCTCCACGACGGCCCAAGAGGCCCCCCAGATCGCCCCAGAACGGCCCAACAGGCCCCCAGGACGGCCCCAAGACGGCCCAAGAGGGCCCCAAGACCGCCCAAGAGGCCCCCGGGACGGCCCAAGAGGGGCCCCAGGATGGCCCCGAGAGGAGGCCCAGAAGGGGTACCCGAATGAACATGTCGAGCTTTCGGCTCAAGAGGCCCCCAGGAGGCCCTAAGAGGCCCCCTGGAGTGCCCCCAACAAACCCCAAGAGAGCCCCAAGAGGCCCCAAGAGGGCCCCAAGAGGTCTCCAAGAAGCCCCTGGGACGCCCCCAAGAGGCCCCTAAACTGCCCCGCAGAAGCCTCCGAGAGCCCTCTCGAGAGACCCCAGGAAGCGTCCATGAGGACTCCGTCCGACCCAAATCCAAGCACGGTGGCGGGATGGGGCGACGGCTATTTGATAACGCGCCGCGTCACGACTTTCGATGCTGCGCACCTCTTCGAAAAACTCCCAGGGAGCGGCCAGTGATGCGCCGCCGGCGTCCTCGATCCGACCGCTCCCGCCCTGCGGTGTGGGCAGTGCGAGACCACTCTGTCCAAGTGCCTGGCAGGATCCGCCAGGGCGTGGCCAAAATCTCCCTGAAGTCCCTCCCGTGGGCCTCCACTCTGTCGGCGGTTCCTCGCAGACCCCCCTGGGGTCAATGATTCCAAGTATCCTAAGGGGCCCCTGGGCGCCCAAGAGAGCCCCAAGACGCTCCCCAAGACGGTCCCGGAGGGCTCCAGTCGCCGAAAGGTCTTTCCAAGACGCCCAACATGGCCGCAAGACGGCCACGACATCTCCAAGACGCCCACAGAGGGCTTCAAGAGCTCTTTCCAAGAGGGCCCCAAGGGCCCCAAGAGGTAAGAGTCGTCACCTTCCTTGACTAAAATGT